CGCCGCCCAAGTTGTTATTCTGTGGGAAACACTGTGATGATATGATTCTGCTGCTATGATTTGCAGGCCGTGGCGTCTCTGAAGCATCACAATGCTTCATTTATAAAAAGTATGCTGTGTCCTGAGACTTGAATGTGACACGTGGTTTGATAATATTTTAAATTAAGGGGACGATTATGCTCATTTCCAGCTCAGTATTTTTATTCTGGGACTCGGCTAGAGAACTCTGCTTGATTCACAGTTCAATAAAATCCTTGTTTAACTTTTACTGGCCCCTAAGTTAATCCTTAAGTTGGTATTCTGCTCATAATCAGGTTCATAATCCTATTTAGGGGTTGGACCAGAACAGATTTACAGGGTTTAACACCATATTTTTTTGTCATACTGCACATTGCTGCAGCTCCTCTTTTCACCGTGTTGAAGGCTTTGTTTTAGCTATGGAGTGATGCATCTCGTCTCTAAATGATCTTTGTTGGGAGTTGCACATGTGCAGTTCCTAGTTAAGGACTACTAGCCAATCAGAAGCAGAGAAGGGCGGGTCAGCGAGAAGCCGGTAAACAGCTTCGATTCAGCTGTACATGGACTGGAGCGAGAGTGTCAGAGCGGTGAGTTATTAATCTGCAACAAAAGGATCTTTCATCTATAAAGTTTTAACTGAGCTCTGTCTCTACATCACAGGAACAACTTTATGTCCACTGACTGCCTGGAGGGTAGCTAGTGTTTGGAAGGGAAGGAGAGCTGTGTGGTCACGTGTCGGACTAGCCTCTTGGCGCGTTATATGAGGCACATTTAGCTTTAGCGAAGGGAAGCGGCTGGACTACAAACGAGCTGTTTTCTGTGGGAGACGGGAACTCTGTTTGTTCTGGACTTTGGGCTTTTTTTACTTTGCAAACCTGTTACATTCACAAAAAAGGCTTATAACTCAATAAGGAGAGGGGAAAAGCCAAAAAGCAGAATACCACCTCTTTAAGCTCCTGTCTCTTTAAGTGCCTCCTCCCTAAAAGCCCACTTTCTTCTGATTGGCCAACTTCCAGCTGCCTCATCCTCCTGCTGGTGTTCAAGATCTCAATAAACTGTTAAACTTTTAAATTATAAAGCCCATAATGTATAAATAATATCTGCTTTTCTTGGAGTCAGAAATCTACTGAAGATAATAAGTCGTAGCCCCGCCCCTCCAGGTGCACTTACCTGTTGTAGGCGCTGACCAGCAGGACGTTGTTGTCCATGGCCGTGTTGTATGTTGGGATGCTGCTGATGGGGATGAGGAGCTGAGTCTGCGTCTGAATGCTGTTCTGCTGGTTCTGCAGGGCCGACAGAACCTGAGCCAGCGTCCCAGGAGGCAGCATGGCGCCGCCGCCCGAGCCGCCTTTGATCTGCAGCACGTTGGGCTGTTGACCACGATGCTCTGCGGGACGGCCTGGACCTGCAGCGGCGTGGAGACGGGGACGAGGCGAGGGGCGCTGCGGCGGGTGTCATCGGGGCGGGAGACAGCGTGGGCGGCTCCTTGTTCTCGTCGTCCTCGTCGTCGCTTTCCACTTTGATGACGTCGTCGACGGCCAGTTTGTGCGAGGCGGTGAACTTCTTGGGATCCGGTCTGCTCTTGATCCTCATGATGGGCGTCTTGCTGAGGGCGATGCCTTTGCGGGACGTCTCCTCGGCCTCGTCGTCCTCCACTTTGACAAAGCTGCCGTCGAAGGTGAGGTCGTTGACCGTCTGCTGGAAGATGGTCTCGTTGTTTCGCTTCACCATCGTCCGTGTGAAGTTGTCCTCGCCCGGGTGGAGGCGAGCGTTGTGGGCCAGCAGAGTGTCATAACTAGAGGGGGAGAAACGCTGGTCAGTTAGGTTTGGTTTATTTAATGGGATTAAATAAATAACTTGGACTGAGAGCACTTAAAAAGTTTTGTGTGATTATTATATTCTTAAATTTTCTCTTTACAAGAGAATTTCAATTTGGTTTTTAACAAATTCAGAGAGTTGTGGCTCTCTATGCTCTGTGTAACCAATGAGCATTATTTTGTAGGACTGAAAGGAAGGAATGGGACGTTTGATACCGAGGCGCCGAAACTCGTTTCACTTTCGCAAAGCATACTGGTTTGAAAGAGTGTGTTGAAGATTGTATCAAATTGCCTTTCCCACGTGACAGATGACGTCTGAAGCTTCGTACGTCACTGAAACGCCTGAAAGGATTTGAACGACATGAAGTTTTGTCATTGATTCATACGTGCCCGCCCTGAGTGAGCGGGCTTGACGGCACTTGTCATCACAAGGATCGATTGTAGCTTAGAAAGCCTTCATGCTGTTTGCTGTCATGGCAGATAATTATAATGTAAGGAAACATCATTTACTTGCATTTCTCTCAGCACTTTGATGAGTGAGATCAAAATGAACACACAACGTTCTTTTAATGTACATTTCATTTTGAAATCTCCCTAATAAACAGCAGGCATCTCTGTCTGTTTATGTTTCGATTATGTCAAGAACCGTTCATCCAGTCGACTTCACATGTGACAGTGCAGTGTCGCAATCTGGACACGCGACACGTTCAGAATTAATAAATATACTAGAGAACAGAGCGGAGCGGCGTTATTGTCATCACGCGGGCTTGAAATACATTAGAAACGGATGTGTTGAAACAGAGTTGTAAGAGTTTTCTGAAGATCTAAAGAAGCGCTGAATATCTAGCAGTATATCTTCAGCGTAATTAAGGCCAATGTGAGACGCACATTTTGAATGCCACTTTTTTGTGATTGATTAATGTAAAAATTAAATAAAACTCCCATCAAAAGCTGCTGGAAACTATATAAGAAGACATAAAACAGAAATTTGAGAAGCTGGAAATGAAATGAAAGCTAAATATACTTGATGCTGATGCTGTAATCCAGATAAACTTACAGTGACAGGTTTGATTTGAAGAGTTCAGGTGAGTAAATGTCGCCCTGCCCAAACTCTCTCACACGTATATAAGTGTAAAAACAGTTTTATACCTCTTGGTGTGATAGTCACACTCCATGCAGACGTAGGACGTGTTGGTGACGACATCGGGATGCTCCGTGTCCACGTGCATGGTGAACAGGTTGAGCTCTGTCGTCTGGAAGCTGCAGTATTTGCACTCGTAGCCCCCCTCTGCCATGTTCGAATCCAGATAGTGGTCTGAGACCTGTCTGACATCTGCGTCTTCGCCTCGCTGCTCAAACAGACCAGAAACCTCTGAGGAGACGGCCGCCACGCCGTTACTGTCCCCCGTCTCAGCCGTATCTGTGACGTCCTCCATCTCCTCGTCCGAGTCAACGGTTTCTCGAGGAGGAACCATGCACGGTGTGGTGGACTTCCTCCTGCTCGCCATCCTGAGGTCGGGAAAAGTGCTGTATTAAAGCCGAGTATTAAAGCCGTCTCAGTTCAAGTCGTCCCGTTGTGGCTCCATAAAGTGGGACGTCATCTGTCGAAATGTTTCCTGTGTTGTCCTTAATTCCTGAAGACAAAAAGGAAAGAAGTAAACAATAATAAACATGTAAAAGTTATGTTTAAGGCCACAATCAGACGTGGGAATGTTTTAAATCGGTTCAGCCAGACTCTGCAGATGTTTCTCCTTTAGCTCATTTAGGTGTGTTCAGGTGTAACACGACACACCTGGAGTTCCTGTTCCATCACATGAGAAACTAATGAGCCTTGACTAAACAGGTAAGTAAAAAAAAAAATAGTTAAAATTTACCGGTTAGCTTTTACAGAGGAGCAACAGAAAGCATCCTGACTGGAAACATCACAAATCGGCCGCATTTTTTCAGCCGTATTTTATTGTTTTCAGAAAAGGGGTGAAGCTCTGCTCAAAGTAGCAAAGCAAACAATGTACACTTAAGTATTGTGGAAATTGTGGATGTAGCACATCTTATTTGCATGCTCATGTGCATGCCGTGAAACTTAAATCAATAGCCCAGGCTTTTATTTGCTGAACTCACCCCGTCTATATTTGGGACAGGCCTTTAACTCCTTTAACGTGCCGGTGGATGTTGAATGAAAATACTTTGGTGCTCATTGTTTCCATAAAACGAACTACATGTTTGTGTTGTGGAGAATCTAACTGATCTAAATGTGTGTATCACGTCCATATTGACACATCATTTTTCTGGGTATGGACAGTCTAAGCAGCTTAGAAGCAGTTTAAGCAGGTGACCCAGTGGGCTTCAACAGGTTTTATAGATCCAAAGAACCTCCATAAAAACCAGACCAGGCTTCTAATTGAGACCTGCATTTATTTGTCAAAACGTGAGGCCACACCAGGCCAGTAAAAGGGAACAGGCGTCTAATTGGGACTCTGCTTTTTATTTAAGTTTTACATTATACTGCGTTTTATCTTTCTACACTAATGATCATCTTATCATTTATATTTACATTTCTCTGCCTATGTTTCTTATCCGGCTGCACCTTATCATCTTTAAATACATTACATGTGTTAACTATATGTGGGAAAGTGTGAGCTGATGCGATATTAGCCCTGTGCGCGCTGATCAAACTGTTGTGCTGTTTGTTTCAGCTCCTCCTAGCAAACTCTGGTGCTGCAGCAGAAAATGCACTTCCTGTCCGCACAGAGAGAAGAAAAGACACCGAGCTGTTAACCTGCGCAGACTCCAGTCATAATAATAACCCCGTGTCTTCTCAGCTAGCTTTCTGTCTGAGATGTTTAACAGAGAAAGAGGAACGACCGCAGCGACACCGTCCTAGCGGCTAGCGTTAGCTAGCCGAGCGTTGTGTTTATTATTAACGGGTCGGTCCTGCTGTCAGCTCGGTGTGTGTTTACCTGGTGGATCGGCTGCCGTTTACCAGCATCTCCCAACAGATAGTTAGCTGGCTAGCGGCTGGAGCTTTGTATCATCTCTGGTTGGGGCTGTTGGTGCGCAGTCTTCCGCCTTTTTAGCCAAATACACCGAGGATCCCATCTGCTGCAGCCGGACACAGAGACACTCTGACGGCCGGGGACAAGCTGTCTAAACGCCGTTAGCTCCGGTTTCGGCTGTCGACTCGCATTGTTTGCTCCGTCGCTTTGTTAATAAAAAGGAGAGTTTAATATAAAAAGGCACCGATAGTTCACCGAATCTGACGATGGCATTATTTTTTGTACCGCCGCTACAAGCGACCAACGGCCGAGAAATGCATCCGGTTTGAATATTTCAAAATAAAAGCTTGAGGTAAGGGATTCACTGAAAAATCAGAGTAATAACAACATGTCTATGAAGAATAATAATAACAACATGTCTATGAAGAATAGTAATAACAACATGTCTATACATGTCATAAGAATAATAACAACATGTCTATGAAGAATAATAATAACATGTTATAAGAATAATAACATGTCTATGAAGAATAATAATAACAACATGTCTATACATGTCATAAGAATAATAACAACATGTCTATGAAGAATAATAATAACATGTTATAAGAATAATAACATGTCTATGAAGAATAATAATAACAACATGTCTATACATGTCATAAGAATAATAACATGTCTATGAAGAATAATAATAACATGTCTATACATGTCATAAGAATAATAACAACATGTCTATGAAGAATAATAATAACATGTTATAAGAATAATAACATGTCTATGAAGAATAATAATAACATGTCTATACATGTCATAAGAATAATAACAACATGTCTATGAAGAATAATAATAACATGTTATAAGAATAATAACATGTCTATGAAGAATAATAACAACAACATGTCTATGAAGAATAATAACATGTCTATGAATAATAATAACATGTCTATGAAGAATAATAACATGTCTATGAAGAATAATAATAACAACATGTCTATACATGTCATAAGAATAATAACATGTCTATGAAGAATAATAATAACATGTTATAAGAATAATAACATGTCTATGAAGAATAATAACAACAACAACATGTCTATGAAGAATAATAATAACATGTCTATGAAGAATATAACATGTCTATGAAGAATAATAATAACAACATGTCTATGAAGAATAATAATAACAACATGTCTATACATGTCATAAGAATAATAACAACATGTCTATGAAGAATAACAACAACAACATGTCTATGAATAATAATAATAACATGTCTATGAAGAATAATAACATGTCTATGAAGAATAATAATAACAACATGTCTATGAAGAATAATAATAACATGTTATAAGAATAATAACATGTCTATGTGAAGAATAATAATAACAACAACATGTCTATGAAGAATAATAATAACATGTTATAAGAATAATAACATGTCTGTGAAGAATAATAACAACAACAACATGTCTATGAAGAATAATAATAACATGTTATGAGAATAATAACATGTCTATGAAGAATAATAATAACAACATGTCTATGAAGAATAATAATAACATGTTATAAGAATAATAACATGTCTATGAAGAATAATAATAATAACAACATGTCTATCAAGAATAATAATAACATGTCTATGAAGAAGAATAATAACAACATGTCTATCAAGAATAATAATAACATGTCTATACATGTCATAAGAATAATAACATGTCTATCAAGAATAATAACAACATGTCTATACATGTCATAAGAATAATAACAACATGTCTATGAAGAATAATAATAACATGTTATAAGAATAATAACATGTCTATGAAGAAGAATAATAACAACAACATGTCTATGAAGAAGAATAATAACATGTCTATGAAGAAGAATAATAACAACAACATGTCTATGAAGAAGAATAACAACATGTCTATGAAGAAGAATAACAACATGTCTATGAAGAAGAATAACAACATGTCTATGAAGAAGAATAATAACAACATGTCTATACATGTCATAAGAATAATAACATGTCTATGAAGAATAATAATAACATGTCTATACATGTCATAATAATAACAACATGTCTATGAAGAATAATAACATGTCTATACATGTCATAAGAATAATAACATGTCTATGAAGAATAATAATAACATGTCTATACATGTCATAATAATAATATGTCTATGAAGAATAATAATAACATGTCTATACATGTCATAATAATAACAACATGTCTATACATGTCATAAGAATAATAACATGTCTATGAAGAATAATAATAACATGTCTATGAAGAATAATAATAACATGTCTATACATGTCATAAGAATAATAACATGTCTATGAAGAATAATAATAACATGTCTATGAAGAATAATAATAACATGTCTATACATGTCAAAAGAATAATAACATGTCTATGAAGAATAATAACATGTCATAAGAATAATATGTGTATGAAGAATAATAACATGTCTATGAAGAATAATAATAACATGTCATAAGAATAATAACATGTGTATGAAGAATAATAACATGTCTATGAATAATAATAACATGTCTATGATTAATAATAACATGTCTATGATTAATAATAACATGTCTATGAATAATAATAACATGTCTATGATTAATAATAACATGTCTATGAATAATAATAACATGTCTATGAATAATAATAACATGTCTATGAGAATAATAACAACACATTTAAAAAGAAAAACACATCACAAAAATCTGTTCCGTTCAGTTCAGTGTGCTTTTATAGGCATGAATATTTCAGTAAAATAATGTTGCTAAAGTAGTTTGCTACAAAATAAAAAGTTTATCATTTGAATATGACATAATAAGATTAAATAACAAATAAAAAAATAACAAATACACATAGAATGTAAACTACAAACAGGAATTAACAAGATTTAACCTGCCATGCAGCGAACACTGAGTGCAAGTGCAGTTAGCTGTGTAGACTTTTTTTAAATTAACATTCTTCAAACCTGTACATTTGTTTTTAAAGTGAGATAAAATAATACTACGGAGTCCCTGATGTCCCATAAGTTGATTTTGTTTTTTATTTTAAGAACTTCTTCCCACAAAATAATTATCTTGTTCCCAAAAATATCATCTTATGGGACTTCAGGGGCTCCGTAGATGCAAATTTGCCCTATAGCTGATAGATTTTGTTTACAATTCACAATTATCAAACTAGACAGACTAAGAATTTTGATCTTCCTTTGTGTAAAACATCCTGTGGTCACTTTTCTATCAAATATCGTTGTTATCTCAATAACTCAACTTATCCTAAAATGTACATTTAATTGATTCCTCTGTGTCATTGTCTATGTACAAAAATAGACTTAGTAATGCCCTGCAGCCAAAACACTTTAGAATTCGAAAAAAGATTGCTCTTAGTCTAAATATGGCAATTTTGGCATTTTTAAAATTTACTTCTTTACTACTACACTTATTTTATATATGCAATTTTTTAACACTACTATTAGAAAGAGTTTATATGTTTATTTTATCTTTTGTATGTCTTTCATAAAAGCCATTACAGATTTCTATCATGCTCTCGCACATACTCTTAAAAAATATCCTTTATTTTTTTAATTATGTGAAACAAAAAAATAAATAAACAAACTAATAAATAACATTCCACACAAATACCAAAAATAAATTCTTCTGTTTTTATTATTTCATATGAAACAGCTAAACTTTAAATTCCTGGTTTGTTCTCACATCAAAAAACACAAGATGAAGCCATAAAATAATGTTATATATACTATAATATATACAGTATCTCACAAAAGGGAGTACTCACTTTCGATGCCAGCGATATAGACATCTGTCGCTGTGTGATGTGTTATTTTAGGGGGGGACAGTGAATCTACACTGTTATACAAGCTGTACACTCATTGTGTGTGTGTCATTCTTCAGTGTTGTCAAATGAAAAGATATAATCATATATTTAGGAAAATGTGAGGGGTGTACTTTTGTGAGATACTGTATAAACGGTTTTAATCATACAAATACCCTAGGGGTTTATTTTTATTACACGTCAAATTTCAGATGCAATTTACGATATTCATTAAAAAGAAGAAAGACCTCGTGATTTTAAACTATGAAAAATGGTATTTATTTCTTTCTATGTATCAATGCCTTACTTGTTTTATATTCTTTATTTTTTTTATTTCTAATATGTAGCGTGTCAGGCACAGAAACTCTTAGTCATTAAACTCATTAAACTGGACCTTGCAGTGCAATACTCACATACACTGAAATATTTCTCTGTTTTTATTACTCTTTTAAGGATCAACTCTACCGGTACTCATTATTTATCATTTACACTTCTGTTAATACTGTAAAAATACTACAAGGTTGTTTATTTGTCATTGTACCACATAAAGTTGTATAACGAAATGAATGTTTGTAGTCCCTTAATGCTGCACGCACAGAACTTAACAGATAATTAAATTTGTATTAAAATATAGTAACATTTAAATAAAATAGGTTATATATTTATATACAAAGACTATTTAAATACACGTATACACCACACAGTAATATATCTATCTCTATATATATCTATCTCTATCTATCTATATCTATATATATATATATCTTTATATTTTCTAATTAACTTTTTTTTATTATTTGTTTTCCTTTAATACCTTGATGTGCAAGCGAGCAATTCTAACAAAATAATTTCTGATTATTTTATAGGAATATAGACCTTTTTGATAAATGTGTACTTTACAGACTGTGTTGTTGTATTATGTATACCTGTCTTTAGATTTTTGTCCAATTCCCAATCATTTATTTGAAGGTAAAGCGGAAACGACCGTCGGCGTACTGACGTCAGCGTGACAGATTTATTTGAAGGTTCGTGTGCGTCATAGAGCGACGACAGGAGCGTGTTCCAACTATCGCAGTGAAGTAGGTCGATCCACCACCGAGTGCTGATCAAGGTACTGATGCAGTTATGTAAGAAGTAACAGTGCTGCACCGAAGACACTGATTATTTACACAGGTCAAAGTACAATTTACATTCTTTACTGTCCAGCAATACCACAGAGTACAAATACTCTGTTACAAGTAAAAGTTCTGCACAAAAACCTTACACAAGTAAAAGTTAATTATTTTTATCTGAAAATTAAACTGAAAGTATCAAAAGTACTCCTGTCAGAGTGATATTATCATAATCATGCAGTATAATATTGTACTGATGCATTAACATGTAATCATAAGTCAGTGATGGACATTAATGAAGTATATTTACTCAAGTACTATTAGAGGTACTCCACCACATCAAATATTACTTTTATAGTACTTTTTACTTCACTACATTTATCTGACAGCTTCGCTTACTTTACAAAGTAAGATTTGTACTCACAAAACATATGAAGATTTTTTACAAGTATAGGTAGTAATTTGTTGATTTAACTGGCAACTATTTTGATAATCCTTTAAGTGAATTTTCATGTAAAAACATTTCATGGTTGCAGCTTCACA